ACTTGAGGGAGACGGGAGTGAGCCCTGGTTATATGGCCCTGGTGATTATTGTGAAGAGACTGGCATTGCTGTGGAGAAACTGTAGCAGGTTGTGACCTGAAGCTTCTTGCATTTCTGTTGGCCACAGTTAAATGTTTTACAGTTCTTGCCTTTGATGGAAGGAGATGGTGACTTATAACTGCTCTAAGGTAAACACTGCTGGATGATTTGGATTTGACTGCTGAACTGAAACCAGAGCCTAGACTAAGTGAGGAATTGTGCCTTGGAACTGCTGAGCTACACCTGGACTTGTGAGATATCCTTTGCTTTTTTCATTCTCCAACTTATTTTCCTAATAAATCCCATTCTAAGTGGTACCACAACTATGAGTCTTTGAGTCAACAATGAATAAACAAACGCCCTTGCTGCTAGTATGGCTCTAGAGGCACCAAAGGGCTGGGTTATGGGCTCTTTATCCACTTTCTGCTCTGGAGTGGTGAGGGGCTGTGCTATTCTGACTCCCTCTGGCCATTTCTGAGAGATGCTCATGGTCCTGTGTCCCTAGATCCTGCTTTCTCCTCTTTAGACAGATCTTCTGCAGGAAGCATTTCAAGAAGCAAGCTAGTTTGTATCATCTGCATAGTATAAGTTGTTAATTAGTCTTCCTCCTATCCTGACTCCACATTTTTCTTCATAGAGTCAAGCTTCCTGAATGATTTGCCAGGATACAGACTGAAAAGATATTAAAAAAAGTATATAGTCCTGATGCACACTGCACAATGTTTCCTTGTTCTGTTTGGACAACAGCCTCTGGGTCTAGGTTTTGTATAAGCATAATTAAGTGTTCTGGGGTTCTCATTCTTCTCAATGTTAACCATAGTTTGCTATGATCCACATAGTCAAATGCCTTTTCATAGTTAATAAAACACAAATAGACATATTCTAATATTATCTGATTGCTACTGAGAGCCATCTGACATCAGCAATGATGTTCCTGGTGACATAGCCTCTTTTAAACCCAGCTTGAACATCTGACAGGTTTTTTTTTGTCAATGTACTATTGTAACAGTATGTAACAGATATTCAAGCAACTAAACATCAAGGTGATCATTACAGCTTGTCTTAGATTTGATTTCAAGGTAAGAAGACTTCTTTTTCCTCAATAAATTTCCCAATTGCAATTGTCCAAAAATTTTTAATTTAAGTAAGTAATTTAACCTATAATTAGAGATAAAAGGTTTAAAATACAGATAGCTTGAAAGGTAATCAAGTATCCAAGAGTTTTTAAATAAAGTATAACTTAGACCAGTTGAAGATTTTAAGTGTTTAAAAAAGAGAAAAGGATATAGTTGTTAAAAGAAAGGGTGCAGATAAGGATATTAAAGATTCCAAAATTTTGCTACATACTTATTCATGAGAGAAGAAGTATTCATATTTTTATTTTTATTTTTGTGTGCGTGTACCATCAAATCAGATCTGACTGGTACGGGAGGAGATTGTCCCTCCTTCGCCGGCAGAGCATCTGGTGGATTCAAACCTTGTGCCTCTGGGATTGTAGTTGCAGCTCCTTACCACTAGGCCACCAGAGCTCCCCGTGTTCATATTTTAAAGGGTCATCTAAGCTTATATATAAGCAGGGATTAGACATTTAAAATTTTTTCTCTTTCCTTTTCCTTTTATACTTTTTGACCTAATAGAATTATGTCTATTATACTGAGCCTGTTCACAAAAGTGTTCTTCAACTGGAAGACTTCCCATCTCATTTCCAGAACTGTATTTCAAACAAGTAGCCCTAGAGAATTCCACTTAAGAAGCGTATTTCCCATTTGATGTTGTACTGTCATTTCTCTGTTAGTACCACCTGACAACAAGGTATACATTAACAAATATTGTTGTGTGCCATAGAGTAGGAAGCGACCCATAGCTGAACCTCCAGTGGACTTTCAGAGGCAGTAAATTGCACAGGAGACTGCCCATCTTTATCCCATGAGCAGTGGGTGGTTTCAAATTGCACGCCTTTGGGTTGACAGTCCAGCTCTTTACTATTAGATGACTCACCAGACAAGAGGATAACCTTCCTATGGGTCCTAAAAATAGTGCGATAGTGAAGGTTACCATATCCACCATGAGAAAGGATTTAATGGCAGTTTTTACATTATTTTTTTCCTCTTACATAGTAAGATATGCTGATTATAGAAAATTTTAACAAAAAAGTGTTAAAAAAAACCACAACAAATTTTCCAACCAGAGAAAACCTTGATGATATTTTGGGATGTTTCTTTCCAGTTTTTTAAAACACATTTTATTCTTTCAAAATGGAATTCTTTATTGTGCATATAACTTTGCAAGCTGCTGTGCATACATATTTATCCATGCCAGTGACTTCACTTTTACATAATTATCTATAGTATAGCTACATTATGACTTATTCAAAGTAATTTTAAATAATTTGCAATTATAAATAATTAAGTGATAAAAATATTTTCCTTTATTTTAAATTATTTACTAAAAAAGGAAACTAGTAGCTTAAAGTTGTAACAATTTCCCTTAAAATCTTCTCATATTTAGTGCTGACTAGTGGCCTAATGGGTAAAAAGATGCATTGTAATCCCAAATGCAGGTGGTTGAAACCCACCAGCTGCGCTGCATGAGAAGGACCGGCAATCTCCTCCTGTGAGAATTACTGTCTCTGAAAATCCAATGGAAAGTCAGAAATGAGTTTGTTCTGGTTTGATGGCATACACCACCACCACCAGTGATTTCCAGAAATGTTACAAAATTCTGTTTGTAAGAGAAAGGGAGGAAAACCTAACTATTTTGTCAGAAAATAGTTAAGTTGTTACAAACTACTGTTCACTGGGGAGAGGAAGCCTCTCTGGAGAAGGTACTGAAATTTTAGGAAAGATTTTCCACATCACACAATATGTTTGGGTCATTAGGGTGAAAGGCAAAGAAGAACTGAAAAGTCATTTTAGAAGCCATACATAAGCTGATGTGTCAGAAATGACCAATCTGGGAAACTAAGTTTACTAAAAAAATAAAACAACCCATGTATATTTGAAGTAGTGATTCAGTATACAAATTTTTATTATAATTTATCACATTTATTTACTTCAGTTTTACATTAATTAATGCAACGCAGTGAGAAACAACTTAAAAGCAGTGCTTTAGAAACTGTGGATCACTGAGTGAATTTTCAAATTGTTTGCTGTCATGACCAGAATTTTAAAAAATGAAACAGAATTATATAGAAAACACATCATGAAAGAGAAATATTACTTGTGGAACTTTGCAGTTATGTGTGCGCGCGTGCGGACATAAGCCCCCACTTGATAAAACGTTATTTCTTATAGTAGGTTATTATTATGGAAAAAATGCTTAGAGCCATTGGTATAGCGGAAGGAGTTTGTGTTTTGGAATTAGACCTCTGAATCTGAGCTTTGGATGACTTTAGCTGGATATTAAATTTCAATATGGCTCAAATACCTCTTTGAAAAGAAAAGGGAATAATAGCTCAGGGGTGTGTGTGTTTATGAAAATTAGCCATTAATTAAGTAGAGTGCTTACAATTTGGTAAATATCTCAGGTGTGTGTGTTTTTGAAAATCAGTCATTAATTAAGTAGAGTGCTTAAAATTTGGTAAACACGATTCTTTCTGTCAATGTTCGGTGCAGTAGCGTCGTTTCCAACTTATATTCAATATATAATTACTTTCAAGTCTTCCCCAAAGTAATGTTTCCCATGGAATAGTTTTTATAAATAAATGTTATGCTTTACTTTACTTCAAAACATCTCCCTAAGTATTTTCCTGCACTTTTGTCCAGTAAGGAGACATGTGCACTTCCTGATAATTACAATGTCATATATTGTCTAGTTATTTCAAGAATAAACGAATGTTATAAACTTTAAAATATCTTCTAGTGTTTGTCAGTGCTGGGCACGATGCATGATGCTTGATTAAAATTTGTCCATTTTACAAAATATGTGGTGTAAGGGGAAGCAGATGTGATGTTGCAGTATTTTCCATTCAATCTACATGCTAAACAGGTCAGTTAGGCACTAAGTCATGTCTCTGGGTGGGAAAAGTAAAAGGTGTGAATAGAGAAAGCCCTTTTTCTGAGAGACGAAAATTAGATGCTACTCTCCCCTCCCCACTTCTATTCCCATCAGGGAGGGAGCACTTACAAGCCCCAAGGACCAGGGCCCAGAACGTGCCAGCGTCCTGAGCTCCAGAGGCTTGCCAGCACGCACGATCTCCCGCACTGAGAGCCCTTCTTCCCAGATGAATTCTCATAGTATCACAGACACTCGCAGCGCTGATCGATACTGGATGGCAGACGTGCTCCCACCGTTAAGTGTAGACACAGGGCGGTGGAGTTAGCCGCACTACCTCTCTCTGTCACTGCTTTTCATCTGCTCAGTACTGGCAGAGGACATTAACCCCTTCCCCTGCAGACACCCATTCCGCCGCCTCCCAGGGCGCGCGCTCCCCGCCGTCCCTCCCCTTCAGGTATCCTTCGGCCTGGCGGGGGCTTTTCCTGTTAGACTCACACTCTTGGGGGATTGCACAGTTTGTGCCCGCGCGGAGGGCAGGGCGAGGTGACTTCTCTGTTGGGTTTCCCCGGTAGCCAGTCCCCGGAGGCGGCGTACTGAGCTCCCTCACACTCCAGACCTTACCTTCGTAAGTCTTTGCGGGTATCAGTACTCGGCCTCTCGGGGGCTGCCCCTCCGACCGCCACGCAAAGCCACCCTAAGGCTGGCTAGGGGCGCGCGCAGCCTCCCGCGTCGCCTACTCCCTTGAGCTCAGCCAGACGGAAACCCCGCCCCCCAAGTTCCCGCTTCCACTCCTGATTGGTCGAACCAACCACAAGGCGGCCCGGCCGATGCCCGGCTCGCGTCTCAGTTATAAAGGCTGCCCCGGCATGACCGCCGCGGCGAGGCTCTGGGAATTGCTGCTCGTGCCACCGCTCAGCCCCGGTGGTGCCCTTTTCTCCTGAGCCTCGAGCGCTCCCGACTGCACCATGCCGAGGGGCTTCCTGGTGAAGCGAACTAAAAGGACAGGCGGCTCGTACCGAGTACGTTTAGCCCAGCGAATGTTTCCGCTCATGGGGCCCGAGGGGGCGCCGCCCTTTCCAGAGGAGGCCCCCAGCGCCTCTCTACCTGGTGAGGATCGGGCGCCGTCCCCTGTCGAGGAGGAGCCAGGAAAGGGGCTGGCGGCAGAGGCAGCTCGGGAACTATCAGGGTCACCCTGCCAGGCAGCTGGGGTGAGTTTAGGATCGCGCGGACGCGAAGGCGCCGAGTGGAGAGCAGACGACAGCGAGGGTCCCGGGCCCAGCCCTAGCCCCACGAAGCCGGCGGGCGCAGAGATGCGCCGAGCGTTCCTGGAGCGTTGTCTCAGCTCACCAGTCTCGGCAGAGTCCTTCCCCGGGGGCGCCGCCTCAGTGGCCGCTTTTTCCTGCTCAGTGGCGCCAGCAGCTGCCCCTACCTCAGGGGAGCAGTTCCTGCTGCCTTTCCGGGCACCATTCCCAGAGCCCACTCTCCATCAGGACCCCGCGCCCCTGTCAGCCACCCTGCATGGCCTGAAGCGAGCAGCCAGCAGCGAGCGCCGTGCCAAGTTACCCTCAGGCTGCCCGTCGGGACTCGTGGCCGCTGGAGTCAAGAAGCCAAAAGCGATGAGGAAGTTGAGCTTTGCGGACGAGGTAACCACGTCCCCGGTCCTGGGTCTGAAGATAAAGGAGGAGGAGCCGGGAGTGCCATCCCGGGGTCTGGGGAGCAGCCGAACGCCGCTGGGGGAGTTCATCTGCCAGCTGTGCAAGGAGCAGTACGCAGACCCCTTCGCGCTAGCGCAGCACCGTTGCTCCCGCATCGTGCGCGTGGAGTACCGCTGCCCGGAGTGCGATAAGGTCTTCAGCTGCCCTGCGAACCTTGCCTCCCATCGTCGCTGGCACAAGCCGCGTCCAGTAGCCGCAAACACCGCCACCGCCTCCTCTGCCGACGGGAAGCCTCCTCCTCCGTTGTCCTCGTCCTCTCCGGACTCGGGGACCATAGCATCTTTCCTGGCGGAGGGGAAGGAGAACGGTCGGGCGGAGCGGACAGCGGTTCAGCACCCACCGAGCAGGGACAGCTCCGGGACGGATCAGCACCAGGACAGCGCTCTGCGCCCCAGCCTCCAGGTGCTGCCGCTCTCAGAGCCACCGCTGCCACAAGTCTCCTATACCGAGGGGGTGTTGAGCCGCCGCGTGCCTGGACCAAGTAGTGCCAATAGTGTTGGGGGATCTGAGATCTTCGTGTGTCCTTACTGCCACAAAAAGTTCCGTCGCCAAGCCTATCTGCGCAAGCACCTGGGCACTCACGAGCCAGGCTCAGCCTGCGCGCTGGCCCCGGGCTTTGCTGAACGCGGCGCACCTCTCGCCTTCGCTTGCCCGCTGTGCGGGGCGCACTTCCCGTCTGCAGACATCAGAGACAAGCACCGGCTGTGGCACGCGGTCCGTGAAGAGCTGCTTCTACCCGCTCTGGCGGGGGCGCCCCATGAGGTGCCAAGCTCAGGCGGGGCATCAGACGGGGGTGGCCAGCAAATTTTCTCTTGCAAGCACTGCCCGTCCACCTTTTTCAGCTCCCCAGGGCTGACCCGGCACATTAATAAATGCCATCCCTCAGAAAGTAGGCAGGTATTGCTGCTGCAGATGCCACTACGGCCTGGCTGCTGAAGGCTGGAGACTAAGCAGGGTGCGAGGCTGGCCTTGGAGTAAAATCCTGGGAGTGTCTGTGGGGCTTTCCCACAAGTTTACTGTCTTTCCTTATATTGTTTTCTCTCTCCAAAATATCCCAGTAGTCAATGATCCGCCAGAGAAGCGGACAGCAAAATGTAAAATCCCTCTCTAGAGCAGGTATGTATGCGGGATAAACACTCCTCGTTCAAAGATGCCAGCTGTACATTCTTTTCACTTTCCCCAAATAAATAGGATTTCATCTACAAACAATGGAGAGCCTAATGAATCCTATATGACTTGTAATTCCTATGGAAAGTCGCGGTGAATGCGTGCATGCCAGTTTATAAAGGATTCTAGCTACCGAAAGTGGTGGTCACCTACGCTTTTCCTCTTGCCGTTGCGGGCGCCTATTTAGTTTCTGTCCCAATAGGATCAGATGATATTATTTGTATATTCTGTGAATTAAAACTTACGTGATTGGTGCCAAATTTACAGGAGGAAAATAAGATACTAGACCTGTGTCAGTAGAAAATGAGATGTTTGCTGCTTTTGGGGGTGGGTGGGGTACAGATCTTTCCCGTTATAACCCTTTACACCCAATTATATGTATACTTCATTCTTAGTATGTGGAGGTGGAGATATGTTACTTTACTGCAAGGAGTTAAAACCGAAACACCCCCAAATTCTTCCCTTTTGCTACTTTATATGCAGTGCTGCAAGAAGACCTACTTTAATATTTCCAAAAACTAAAGAAATGTTTAAACTCACATTTCCTTCACATTTGACCGATTCAGTAAGATTTCACTCAAGTTGTTATACTTCTGTTTTAAATCTCATATCATGTATTATATGTACTATGTTCTCCTCAAAGTACCTATGGAACTGAAAGGCAATCCATTCAATATTCTTTATTTTTTTTCAAGTATTTTTGAAGTGATTTTCTGTCCTAATTCATATTCAGTGTATATTTTGTACTAACAGCCAGAACTGCGGACACTGGCTGTGCAATGCTTGACAGACAGCCCTATTTTGTAAAATGCTTACCACCAAATAAATGTACATAGCATGTGCGTTTGTCATTTTATTTGTCAACAATCTCACTGAACACAGTGTACTTCCAAGGCCATATTTCTCATCTCCTTCAATACCAATCAATATTCTTTAGAATCCTACTGATCTGTTTTATAAATAAATGTAATATTACAAAAAAGCATTTGAGAAATTTTCCTTTTAAGTATTGCACAGAATACAATTAAGCTTTAGAGCAAAAAAGCTAAATACTATTCTTTAAATACTTAAATCTAAAAAGACACCTGACCTCCAACTAATGTTTTAACCAAAAAGTTATATAAAATATTTCTTAAAGAAAAAGTAAACCTTAGAAGCTAGTAAAGTACTCCTTGAAAATGGAAAAAGTCATGTTAACTATGTGAATTAATTTTACCATTTCAAGTTGATACTTTCAACTCCATTTTGTTGCATATAAAACATTAATTTGCTGATTTAATAGAATCATTTCAGAAATGTATAAGTGGTTACTCTGATTTTCTCTTTTGTAATCCTTCACTTTGACTATGGGAAACTATCTTCTCATCTTGCTCCAAGGAACTCCATTTAAATATTTTTATACAAGCTTTTAATAGGAGAAGAATTTTATTTAGAAGAAAACTATAAAAACTATTTGAAAGGTTGTTTTAGAAAAACCTGTCTACACAAAATTTTGTTGTTAAAAGAACATTTTAAAACAAAGTAAAATTTAAAATAACCACCAAGCTTGAGGATTAACTGAAGTTTCTCACGAGCCTTCATAAAAATGTTGAATTTCCTTTGTTATTAACAACTATGGTAGAAATAAATTAGTGGGTCTCATGGGAAGGGAATTAAAATTCATTTTTCAATGACTGACTAAAGTAAACTAGTATCATGCTTTACAGGCCTCCATTAATTATACAGCTCTGCTTAGTAAGTATGAAGAGATGAAATTGAGAAGAATCAATACCACTAGACAAGAAATGATAAGAATATTTTTATTGTATTATTAAATATCAGGTCTTTTTTTTCTCCACTGTTACAAATTTGTAGATACTACATGGATGATGATACATAATTTATATTTTATGGTTTGCCAGTATATTTACACATGCAGTTAGTACCGATTACATGCTACATTTCCTTAGGAGATGCTCATTCTAAACAAACTGTGAGCAAAATGTGAGCTTATCTAATGTAGGAAAATACTTCTGGAGAGTGGAATGTATACTGACTTGCACCTGCAAGTTCAGCATTAACAATTTTATATTTTAGTTAGATTCCCAGGTAATGTTCCCTTTTCTTTGTAACACATAATTTGAGCAACATATTTATATGAGAAAAATCTTTCTCTTCTCAACCCTTTTGGTACTTAAGCAAGTACATAAATATACCAAGATCCCATGGCCAATAATAAAGGGCCACATTTCAAAAAAGAAATGGCACTTCAAAGTGTATCACTTAGAAACTAAAACACTAGAAAATTGTTAGGATGCTAAACATAAAGTTCAACACAGTGATTTTTCTGATTATTGAATATATTCTGGCATCAGCTGTACAGTCAAGAAAGGAGACATTGTTTTGAGAAGAAAAAGTTAATGCTAAAATTAGTTGGAATTTGAGATGCTGAAAGATCATTTAAGTGTTTTAATTTCAAATCATAAATAATCTGTACACATCCTGTGTATTAACAGATATGCAACTTCTGCTTTAACTTTACAAATGCTTAAATTTAGAATTTTACATTTGTAAAAAAAAAAAAAGACATTTATTGAGCCATAAAGCTGCAAAGGTGCACGACAAAGAAAATAATGGTATTATCTGTCCAATTATATCTTGGCTCAAGATTAATCATGAAATTAAAACTATTTAGACATAATTTTCTAGGAAGATAAAAGGTACAGAATGAAATTCCACCCCCCCCCGCCAAAATATGACAGGTTGGAGTACAGAGGGGAAAAAACCCTCCAACTGAATAAACAACTCAAATCTAAAGTCTTAAGTCACAAATTATTTAAATCCAGTGTTTTCTAAATTAAATGTATAAGAAGGGACATGCATATTATGGAAGGTATGAAATCCTAATGAGGTTAACATTAAAACAATACTATGTTTCAGTAAGGTGACTACTGCTGATCACTGCAGGGCTGCTTGCCTCTTTAGGATTTATTAGCTGAGCCAGAGGATCGACGCAGTTTCATAGACATGCGGCTCTTGCTAGTTCGAGGGGACATTGGAGAGGCCAGGTCAGCTCCATCTACCTGCGTTGCTGTTGGAGCTTCACTGGGTAGAATCTCTGAGTAGACGCCTGTGGGAAATAGCCAGAGTATTAGTACCAATTATCCAGCTTCTAGCCTATAAAAAACCACCTTTCTGTTACTGATGTGTAGAGTACTGGACTCAACCCATAATGAGATCTTTTGAAATGGAAGCCCAAATTTTTGTTACAAAAGCCTACTACTTAAACAGTGATTTGATGGCTCACGTCATCATACTAGCAAGAAAGCAGCAATCATTTTCCTGAGCCAGGACCAACTAGAGAGCTCTTTGGAGAAAGCAATGGGAAACAAAAATCTATGGGCCAAAAAGATAGGGTTTTGAAACATGCAAGGAAGGGTTCAAAAAGCAGGTGAGAAAAATCAATTCCTATTTGTAGCGTTTAAGGTATAACTAAAACTGAGGTTATCACTGCTTAAGCTTGAAAATAATTGCACCCTCTAAAAAGTTGCTCAGCACTTAAGAACATTATACATGCTTTGAATTTAATTAAATTATATTTATGCTTTTAAAAAGGAGCAAAATAAATTCCTAGGGGTGAGAGTGGAGGTGGGGAAGACGGAAAGAGGGCAAGAATTCGCATCTGAAAGTCAGTTAAAAAGATTAACTGATCCCAGAAAATGTCTTGACTTAAATTTTCTCAGCTATATTATTCAGAAGACCTAGGATGGAAGAATGTAACCTGTAAACATAATAGATAAAATTACTGGAGATTAAAGGACATTACTTGTGTCATATAAAAAGCAGTTCTTTAAACATTATTTCTATAAATTATTATTCTCTAATATAAAACAGTAAGAAAAAACATGCAAATTTAGGTTCTCAAACATCTTCTGGATGAATGAATGAACAGAGATTACAATTACATAAAAAGTCTTTGAGAAAAAACAAAAGCAAGCCTGTAAATATATTAACAGAGTAACAATATAAAATTGTGTATATTTGAAAAGCATTTTGTCCAGATTTTCAAGGTTTTATGGACATGAAATTTCCTGTGTGTTAAAACAAAAACCACCATAGCTTGTTATCTTCTATAGCACTGCCATATAATGAAATATTATGTTCAAAATGAAGTGATGAACATTTATAAGAAAAAGAACTAAAAAAAAGTCATAGAAGCAGCATATCCTACACTAAGATGTGATAAGTAATTAAGAATGTATCTCAGTAGAACATTTAAAACCAGTTTTAGGGCCCAAAGTTATATTTGAGCACAAATACACATTGCCAAGAATAAACCATTTGATCACTCAAAATTCAGGTCAACTGCAATCTTTCTCAAAGTAGTTTCTCCAAGCCTCTCTAGTTTAATGAGGCTGGTCTTCAAAAACAAGGTGAAGGAATTATGTCTGTTCATTTTTATTGCTCCTGAAGACCTGAACTGGTTTAGCCCCAAACTAGAAAAGCTAAAGGAGAACATGAATCCATGGCCCTCATTAAGGAAGCACTGCAGGTGGATGGCAGAAGGAAGGTGAAGAGCAATAGCTCATGCTTTTCTAGTAATGCATACTATTTCCAACCAGCATGAGAGGCCTTCTCATGGCTGTTTACCTTGAGATGGCCAATGTTTTCTAGCGGAGGTTTTGGGAGGAAGAGAACTATCACTGCATTTCTTTCTTTGTTGTGAATGAAGAAATGAAGTATCGAGCAGGAGTGAGAAAACAAAAGAGAAAATAGATAACGGATCTGAC